GGTTGAAGGAGGAGGGAACCAGACTCTTTTCAGTGGTTCCCAGTGAGAGGACGAGGGGCAACGGGCACAAGTTGGACCAGAAGAGGTTCCACTCCAATATGAGGAAGAACTTCTTCACAGTGAGGGTGACAGAGCCCTGGAACAGGTTGTGGAGTCCTCTTCTTTGGAGATCTTCAAGCCCCACCTGGATGCTCCTGAGGAACATGCTCTGACAAGCTCTGGGTGGTCCTGCTTCAGCAGGGGAGTTGGACTAGATGATCTCGATGGTCCCTTCCAACTCTAAAAAATTCAGTGAAATTCAGTGAAAGCCCCCTCCAACCTGGCCTTGAACCCCTCCAGGGATGGGGCAGCCACAGCTTCTCGGGGCAACCTGGGCCAGGGTCTCAACCCCATCCGTAGAATCCTTCAGGTTGGAAAAGACCCTTGGGATCATCGAGTCCAACCATCTACCCCACTCTACAAAGTTTTTCCCTGCACCATGTCCCCCGACCCCACATCTAAACGACTCTTAAACCCATCCAAGGATGGGGACTCCACCACCATCCATCTCTCCATCCATCCATCCACCACCTACTCATCCATCCATCATTTCTTCCCCACATCTCATCTCCATCTCCCTCCATCCATTTCTTCTCCACATCTCAGCTCCATCTCCCCTCTTTCAATTTAAAACCCTTCCCCCTCCTCCTAGGGCTCCTCTTCCTCATCAAGAGTCCCTCCCCAGCTTTCCTGGAGCCCCTTGAGGGACTGGAAGGGGCTCTGAGGTCTCCTTGGAGCCTTCTCTTCTCCAGGTTGAACCCCCCAACTCTCTCAGAATCCTCATCCTCACCTCACCCCAGGAGCTGGGGGGTCTGGGACACGCTCAGGATTGAAGGGGATGGGTTCTTCTCAAAAAGCCAACCCCATCTGTGCCAGTTTTGTGTTCACTTTGGTGAATTCTGCTTTTTCTCCTCCCAGGTGGAGCAGCTGGAGATATTTCGGAAAGACCAGGCCAAGCAGGTAACCCACGGGGACAGATCCCACTCCCATGTCCCACTGGAGCCTCCATCTCCTCTTGGGAACCATTTCCCATCAGGAATTTGGCTCCTGGTCTCTGGGCTCCCTCTTTTTCCCCCCCTTGGACTAGGAATTGGGACCCAAACTTGCCCCTCGCCCGCTCATGGTGGCCCTTGGCTTCTGTGACCTGGTGCCAAAATCACCCAGGGGCTCCTGTCCTCAGCCAGAGGGGATTTTGGGGAGAGCTGGGACCCCCCCCCTCCTCCCAATTCCTTCTGTCCATCCCTTTCCCCACTTTCTGCTGCTGGGGGAGGGGGCTGGGGGCCCACAAAGCACCATCCAGATGTGGCCAGAGGTGGGACGTTGTCCTTGGCCACGGTATGTGTTGGTGCTTGGGGAAACCACGCTGGAAAAAACCTCTATGGTCCCTTCCAACTCTAAAAATTCAGTGAAATTCAGTGAAAAGCCCCATTTCCCTTTTTATTGCCCCCACAATCCCAGCCTGAGCTCCCCAAGGACCCTTCAGGGGTCCCCCAAATGTCCCCCCGGAGCGGGGAGAGCCCAGAGAGGAGCTCACAGCAACCAGGGGTCTGGTGGTGGCATCTCCCCAAAGTCCCTTTGCCCTCCCCACATCTCCTGGGCACTGGGGGGGTGAGGGTTCTCCCTGCCCAAGGATTCACACGGAGCGGGGAGAGCCCAGAGAGGAGCTCACAGCAACCAGGGGTCTGGTGGTGGCATCTCCCCAAAGTCCCTTTCTCCTCCCCACATCTCCTGGGCACTGGGGGGGTGAGGGTTCTCCCTGCCCAAGGGTTCACACTGGGGTTGGGGGTCCCCAGGGGGGGGTTCTTTGGTCCTTCAGCCCTTCTGTGGGGTCACATCTCCGCTCTCCAACCTCAGGAGCACCCCTATTTTTGGGGGGTGTGATGCCTCCCTCCCTCCCCACGTTGTCACGGGGTCCCTCCTGGAGATGTGACCCATGGGATGCCCAGGGAGGGGTGGGCTCCTGCTCTCTCCAAGAGTTGGCCATGGAGACCCCCATTTTGGCTACAGGGCATGGTGTCACCACCCCAACTTCCCTTGCCCTCCCCCCAAAAGGGGTCTTGGCTTCTCTTCCAGCCTGTGGTTGCTCTTTACGTTGGGGTTTACCAACCTCCTCCCCCCAAAAAAGAACGTGGGGTGGCTCTGGCTGCCCAAAACGAGCCCCTTTAACCCAAATATTGGCTGTTTTGGGAGCTTCTGGGGTGGTGGGCACCACTGGGCACCAGGGAATCCTCCTGGTCCTGCTCCTGGAGCTGGTGGTGAGGGTTCTCCCTGCCCAAGGTTGGGGGTCCCCAGGGGGGGTTCTTTGGTCCTTCAACCCTTCTTTGGTGTCACATCTCCACTCTCCAACCTCAGGAGCACCCCTATTTTGGGGGACCACGCTGCCACGGGGTCCCTCCTGGAGCTGTGTGGCTGGAGATGTGACCCAGAGGATGCCCAGGGAGGGGGGGGCTCCTGCTCTCTCCAACAGTTGGCCATGGAGACCCCCGTTTTGGCTACAGGGCATGGTGTCACCACCCCAACTTCCCTTGCCCTCCCCCCAAAAGGGGTCTTGGCTTCTCTTCCAGCCTGTGGTTGCTCTTCACGTTGGGGTTTACCAACCTCCTCCCCCCAAAAAAGAACGTGGGGTGGCTCTGGCTGCCCAAAAACGAGCCCTTTAACCCAAATATTGGCTGTTTTGGGAGCTTCTGGGGTGGTGGGCACCACTGGGCACCAGGGAATCCTCCTGGTCCTGCTCCTGGAGCTGCTGGTGAGGGTTCTCCCTGCCCAAGGTTGGGGGTCCCCAGGGGGGGTTCTTTGGTCCTTCAACCCTTCTGTGGGGTCACATCTCCGCTCTCCAACCTCAGGAGCACCCCTATTTTGGGGGACCACGCTGCCACGGGGTCCCTCCTGGAGCTGTGTGGCTGGAGATGTGACCCAGAGGATGCCCAGGGAGGGGGGGGCTCCTGATCTCTCCAACAGTTGGCCATGGAGACCCCCGTTTTGGCTACAGGGCATGGTGTCACCACCCCAACTTCCCTCACCCTCGACCCAAAAGGGGTCTTGGCTTCTCTTCCAGCCTGTGGTTGCTCTTTACGTTGGGGTTTACAAACCTCCTCCCCCCAAAAAAGAACGTGGGGTGGCTCTGGCTGCCCCAAAACGAGCCCTTTAACCCAAATATTGGCTGTTTTGGGAGCTTCTGTGGTGGTGGGCACCACTGGGCACCAGGGAATCCTCCTGGTCCTGCTCCTGGAGCTGGTGGTGAGGGTTCTCCCTGCCCAAGGGTTCACACTGGGGTTGGGGGTCCACGGGAGGGGGTTCTTTGGTCCTTCAACCCTTCTGTGGGGTCAAATCTTCGCTCTCCAACCTCAGGAGCACCCCTATTTTGGGGGACCACGCTGCCACGGGGTCCCTCCTGGAGCTGTGTGGCTGGAGATGTGACCCAGAGGATGCCCAGGGAGGGGGGGGCTCCTGCTCTCACCCCCAGGGCAAGCAGTTGGCCATGGAGACCCCCGTTTTGGCTACAGGGCATGGTGTCACCACCCCCACTTCCCTCACCCTCGACCCAAAAGGGGTCTTGGCTTCTCTTCCAGCCTGTGCTTGCTCTTTACGTTGGGGTTGACAAAACTCCTCCCCCCAAAAAATAACATGGGGTGGCTCTGGCTGCCCAAAACGAGCCCCTTTAACCCAAATATTGGCTGTTTTGGGAGCTTCTGGGGTGGTGGGCACCACTGGGCACCAGGGAATCCTCCTGGTCCTGCTCCTGGAGCTGCTGGTGAGGGTTCTCCCTGCCCAAGGGTTCACACTGGGGTTGGGGGTCCCCAGGGGGGGGTTCTTTGGTCCTTCAACCCTTCTGTGGGGTCACATCTTCGCTCTCCAACCTCAGGAGCACCCCTATTTTGGGGGACCACGCTGCCACGGGGTCCCTCCTGGAGCTGTGTGGCTGGAGATGTGACCCAGAGGATGCCCAGGGAGGGGGGGGCTCCTGATCTCACCCCCAGGGCAAGCAGTTGGCCATGGAGACCCCCATTTTGGCTACGGGGGCACGACCCAAAAGGGGTCTTGGCTTCACTTCCAGCCTGTGGTTGCTCTTCACGTTGGGGTTTACAAACCTCCTCCCCCCAAAAAAGAACGTGGGGTGGCTCTGGCTGCCCCAAAACGAGCCCCTTAACCCAAATATTGGCTGTTTTGGGACTTTCTGTGGTGGTGGGCACCACTGGGCACCAGGGAATCCTCCTGGTCCTGCTCTTGGAGCTGGCTGGATGCCCTCAGGAGCTTTTGGGGGACGGAGCTGCTCTGACCAAACTGTCCCCATCCAGGTGGAGGAGCTGAATAAAAAGCTGAGTCAGCACGAAAAGGCCACCCGCACCCAGCAGCAGAGGGTGAAGGTAAGAAAGGACCCAAAAAACCCAGGAGCTGAGCTGGTCCCAGCCCTGGAGATGTTGGTGGCCACCCCCTGAGGGACACGGGGGGGGTTCAGCTGGAGGTTCAGGGTGTCTCTGACCCTTCTCTTTTCCCCCCAGGCACTGGAAGGGGAGCTGCAGGCAGAAGCCACTCGCCAGCAGGAGAAGGTGGCAGAGCTGGAGGCCCAGCTCGCCCAGAAGGAGCAGGCGGCCGAGCACTACAAAGGCCAGGTACCACAGGACCCACAGAATGATCTGGGACCTCTGGAGATCATCTCCTCCAACCCCCTGCCACAGCAGGGCCACCCAGAGCAGGTCCCACAGGAACGTGTCCAGGGGGGGTTTGAATGTCTCCAGAGAAGGAGACTCCACCACCTCCCTGGGCAGCCTCTGCCAGGGCTCTGCCACCCTCAAAGTGAAGAAGTTCCTCCTCATGTTGAGGTGGAACTTCTTATCTTCAAGTATCTTGTGATCCCAAGACACTGGCATCTTCCTTTCCAGCCCTTCTGCTGGCATGGACCCAGCTGGCATGGAAGACCCTTTTCTAGAGCACAAAAAAGTTGGGTTTTTCCCCCGTTTCACAGAATCCCATGGGGTTGGAAGGGACCTCTGGAGATCATCCAGTCCCACCCCCTGCCAGAGCAAGTCCCACCCAGAGCAGGTCCCACAGGAACGTGTCCACGTGGGGTTTGGATGTCTCCAGAGAAGGAGACTCCACCACCTCTCTGGGCAGCCTCTGCCAGGGCTCTACAACCCTCAAAGTGAAGAAGTTCCTCCTCATGTTGAGGTGGAACTTCTCATGGTCAAGTTTGTGCCCATTTCCTCTTGTCCTGTCCCTGGGCACCACTG